CCTACCTCTCCTTTCTTCCCTCCCCTCCCCTTCCTGATAGTGCAGCTGATTCCTCAGGGATGCTATTGCCCTTTCTTCACAGACTTCATCCTCTGTGTGAGATCTTCATGTCTCCCCATATCAACATGTGTGCTCTTCTTACTACACTGACTCAATCTCTCCCCTTTATTGAAGTATAATTGACAAATAAAAATTGTATATATTTAAGCTATATAATGTGATGTCTTGATGCACATATATTTTGTAAAATCATTAACAAAATCAAACTAATTAACATTTCCATTACCCCACATAGTTACTCTTTTGTGTGTGGTAAGAATGCTTCAGATCTACTGTATTAGAAAATTTCAAGTATATAATACAGTATTATTAATTATAGTAGTTGTTAAGGGATTGGTGGGTAGGGAAAGTGGGAAGATATACAGAGTTTCATTTCCTCAGGATGACTAAATTCTATAGTTCTAATGTACAGCCTGATGACCAACTCAGTTTTAATTTTTTGTCTTCTCCATTAGATCCATGTACTCTCTTGAGGAAGCCTTTCACAAGTCTGGCTAAGCATTGAGATCTCATGGGCAGCTTGATAAAAATACAAAAATTCCTGATCCTCACACCAGGCCAACAGAATGAGAATTCCTGGGAGTGGAGCCCAGGGATTCATAAATTTAAAAAAGCTTTCCAAATGATTGTGATCGGCAGGCAGGCTTGGGAACTCCTGCCCCCAAGACCAGCCATCATTTTCAATAACAGCAGGGATGGAACAAGACAGACACCTGAGATACACTGAGGCCTCACTTTGTGACAGGCCCTGCTTTAGGAGCTTTTACATCTAATTATTTAATCTCAGCCATCTGGAGAAACAGATAATAGTATACCCATTACTACAAACGAGGAAACCAGAGCTCAAGGGCTTAGGCTCTTGTCCTAGGTCCCCACTGGTAACAAAACCAGCTCTGCCATCTCTTTAGGCTCATATTGTTTTTACTTAATCCATGTTAATTAAATGTTGGTTAAAATAAATTAAAATAAATTAAAATAACATTTAATTTATAAATTAAAATAAATTAACATCTCCATTACTTGCTCTACTACATTCGGTCAACCTGAGACCTATCCTCTCTCTCTGCTCAACTCCTTTCTCAAAAACAGCCTCCTCATTCATCTCTCTCCATCTTGGGGCATCTCCCCTCTAATCTGTTTTCCCAACTGCAGACAGCTGATCACGTAAACTTGAAATTTTGCCAAATCATTCTGTTTATGGTACCCATTACCACATAAAAACTTTTCACTTTTATGCAAAGAGGTATGTCTATTTTTCTTTTTTAGCTTTGAGGCTTTCAGACTTATAATAGATATCTAAGCAGGCCTTCCCTTCCCTGCCCTCTAGGCTTCTAATGCAAATGGCAATCTAGGGGCTATATTTTACAAGGTATAAAATATTTGCACACAGTGACATAGAAAGGCAACTTTAGAAAAATGGGTAATAGGTGTGCATGGGCAATTCACAAATGAGGAAGTTCATAAACAAACAAATAAAAAGAACCCCTGATCACTAGAGGTCAAAGAAACAAAGTGATGCCACTTTATATCTCTCAGACTAGAAAAAATCAAAAACAGCTATCACTTTGATTGCTGGCAGTGATGTAGGGAGAAGGGAATCTCGTAAACTCCTGGTTTAAGTAGCAATTTCACCAGCCTTTTTGGAAAGCATTCTAGTAACATTTGGACAGCTACATGCAAAAAAATTGAGATTTGATCACCAACTGATACCATACACAAAAATAAACTCAAGATGGGTAAAAGACTTAAATATAAGTTGCAGCACCATAAAAGTTCTAGAGGAGAACATAGGCAGGAAACTCTCAGATATCCCACTCAGCAACATTTCAGCCAATTTGTCCCCTGTAGCAAGGGACATAAAGAAAAAAATAAACAAGTGGGACCTCATCAAAATAAGAAGCTTCTGCATGACTAAAGAAAACATCAACAAAATGAAAATGGAGCCAACTGTATGGGAAAATATATTTGCCAATGATACATCAAATAGAGGTTTGATCTCCAAAATATATAAAGAATTCACATGACTCCACTCCAAGAAGACAAACGATCCAATTAAAAAATGGGCAAAGGAACTGGGCAGACACTTCTCCAAGGAAGAGATATAGTGGGCCCAGAGACATTTGAAAACATGCTCAGTATCACTAGCCATCAGAGAAATACAGATTAAAACCACAATGAGATACCACTTCACACCATTCAGAATGGCCATCATAAACAGATCAACAAACAACAGGTAGGTGAGGCTGTGGAGAAAAGGTAACCCCAGTTCACTGTTGGTGGGAATGCGGAGTGGTGCGGCCACTGTGGAAAACAGTTTGGAATGTACTCAAAAAGTTAAAAATGGAACTACCTTTTGACCCAGCGATTCCACTGCTGGGACTCTACCCTAAGAATCCCAAAACGCCAATTCAAAAGAACCTATGCACCCCAATGTTCATAGCAGCACAATTTACAATAGCCAAGTGTTGGAAGCAACCTAAATGCCCATCAGTAGATGATTGGATAAAAAAATTATGGTACATTTACACAATGGAATACTATGCAGCAGAAAGAAAAAAAGAACTACTGCACTTCACGGCAGCATGGATGGAACTAGAGAGCATTATGCTAAGCGAAATAAGCCAGAGGGCAATAGGCAAATACCATATGATCTCACCTATAAGTGGAACCTAACCAACAAAACAAACAAGCAAGGAAAATATAACCAGCAACATTGAAAGAAAAAAAGAAACCAACAGAGTCAAGAGGGAAGGAGGGAGAGGTGGGCAAGGAAAGGGAAGGGAAGGGTCAAGTCAAAGAACATGTATAAAGGACCCGTGGAAAAAGTCAAAGTGGGGAAAGATTGAGGAAGGGAGGTAGGGGATGGGGCAGGGGAAGGTGGTGGCAGGAAGGTGGAGACAAATGTATTTGCACAAAAAAAAAAATTAAAATTAAATAAATAAATAAATAAAGTAGAAACTACAATATGTTTGTTCTAATTGTCCATTCCCAGGAGTCTATTTTTCAGCACAAAGCCACTTTTATAAAGGACTTGTGGATAAGAGTATTTGCTGCTGTATTGCTTGAATAGCAAAAACCTGGAAATTGGATGCCTATTTACCTCTAAAAGAATCGTTGACTTTATTATGAAGCATCCACATCATAGTAAAATAGGATTCCATAAGAAATGTGAAGCGTAGCTATATATTGACTTGGAAGTATGTGTATGAGGTGCAGTTGAGTGAGGAAAATAAGATGCAGAAACTTGTGATATGATCCTATTTTGCAAAATGTTACCACATGAACACATTCACACAAAGCCCTTTAGATGTAGAGTTTGTGTGTAGAATTTAGATGTAGAGTGTCGATATGAGTGTGTATCTGTACAAGGCTATGTGAACACAGAGAAAAATGCAGGAGGACTCACACTGGATTATTAGCATGGGTGAAGGGTGTGGGACTTGCAGACGATAGAGAGCAGAGAAAAAACAGAGGGAGCAAGCCAAGACAGTAAAGACAAAGGAGAAAGGGTTAATAGTATACTGTAATAAAATCATATCTGCATGTATGAGATGTTGTATTTATGAACTTTTATGAATTATATACATGTGTATGTGTATTACAAAATCTGAAAAGTTTAAAAACTGCAAATCTAATCAGTTCATTCATCCTAAAACATTTCAATGGCTCCCTATACCCCTGTGCATTAATTTAGAATCTCCAGCCTGGGCTCTGGAAGACCCTGCTCATCTCTCCACCCTCCTATAGAACAGCTACCCTCCTCACTTTGTCTCAGTGTCACACATTTGCCTCAGGTCCCCAGTCCCTGCCCTGCAGCCCTCCTGCTCTGCTTTAGGTCTTCACATATGCTGTTCTTATCTGACAAGGCCATTTCTCCATTCCTATTTTCTTGGATAACTCCAACTCATTTTTGTAAGTCTCAGCTTAAATATCAGTTTCTCAGGGAATTTTCCTGACCCACAGACCATATGGCTGTGGCCAGACATGTAGCCAGATATGGCTACATACCTTGATATATATTCTCAATGATTCTTTGTCCTCACTAAAATTCTGTTTTACTATTAGCTTCCCCCCCCCAAATTTTGCACAAATTTCTCCAGCTGTAGTTTATTGTTTTAATGTTTATTTTTTGTGTGCAGATTGGATAAGAGCCCATAGGAGGACCTGAGCTTTGCACCCTGGATCTCATAATTGTGGTGGTGTAGAATCATCTCTTCCAACCCCCTTGTCATCCCATGGCTCTCTCAGTCATGATGAGCTCTTTTAGTCTTCCAGGGGCAGAAGTTTATACTACCAGCTGATATCCCTAGCACTGTCTCCGGTTATCCCCCATCTCACCCCCAAGGTCCCTTTGGCCAGCTGTCCCCTACTCTGCTCCTGCCCCCCAGAGAGGAATCCCTGGGCAGAGGAGCCTAGTTACTGATGGAACCCTTCCTGCCCTGTGATCATGATCTGGGCTTGAGAGGAGCCAACAGTGAGAGTGACTTGAAATTCCAGAATGTGTCTGGGATGGCTGGAGCTGACATTTTCTATTGCACCAGAGAACTAACTAAGACAGTGACTTAACAGAAGACACACACCAGTGAGGGCACAACCACCAAGTTTATTAATCATTATCTTGTTTTCACTGCACGTTTCTAATTAAGCATGTTTATGAAAAAATGCAACTCTTATGGAGAAAAACATTAGTTCTCTTTATTTTCAAACCATATTGTTAATAAATAAAGTCTTTTTATAACAATTGCTTTATTTCTATAAGTGGTTGCATTATTGTCTTCTCACAAAAAGGGGACAGAAAGAAAAGATTGTACGACTCTGTTTTCCCAAAAGACGAAGGAAAGCCAGATTCCCATTATGATAATTGCCTTTGGTAAGCTTAGGTACAACATTCAGGTTTCAAAATGAGAAGAAAGTATGGAAATAAATTATACTACATGGATCTTTGAAACTGGGGAAGTGCTAATTCCAAGAGCTTTTAATATTAAATAACCTGAGCTCCATATCCCACTGTCAGTCATCCTGTCCTCTGTGCAGGAAGGAGTGAGTTGGATAACAACTTCTGTAAGTTCCATTAGCATGGGGTGGGGGACAGGTGGTAGGTTTCACGTGTAAATCACCTCACAAATGGGAGAACAAACCGAGGATGTCCTGCTTAGCAAATCATATCATAAGGGTGTTAGTTTTATCTCCTAAGAAAGTGCCTTTGGTGGTTTGTTATCTTCAAGGTGGATGAGGCAGGAATAAATCAGCCCACAATATTACCCTGCTTTTCCTTCTTCCCAGGATTGTCCAGCATTTGCAGTCTTTCCTCCAGTCGCCGTTTCCATTCTTCCCTGAGCCTTAGGAGGAGAAACAATACACAGGGTTTAGTGCATTTGCCTCCACATCTGCTGGTCCAGTAAAGTTTTCTTTTTCTTCTAAAGGGTATTTTTTTTTAATTTAAAAATGTGTACTGATTTTAGAGAGAGAGAAAGGGGGAGACAGAGAGAGAGAGAGAAAGAAGCATTGATGTGAGAGAGAAACATCGATTAGTTCTTTCCCATACCTGTCCCAACTAGTGATTGAATGAACCCACAGCCTAGGTATGTGCCCTGAATAAGGATGAACCTATGACCTGTTGGTGTATGGAACAATGTCTCAAACAACTGAGCCACATAGACAAGGGCCTTCTAAAGAATATTTTTAAGAGAAACACATGACTTTTACAAATTAATGAAGAAAAAAATGAATAGACAGATGAGCAAAGTCTGTGAATTATAGTTTTCCTCCAAAGTTTCCTTCTCAAATTGATATGTGACTCAATGTAATCTCAGTAAAGATCTCAGCAAACTTTTCTGTAGATAAGAACAAACTGATTGTAAATTTTATCTGAAAAAGCAAAAGAAATAGATTAGTGAAAACAATTTTGAAGAAATAAGTTAGCGAACTGACACTACATGATTTTGAGACTTAATATAAGGCTACCACCATCAAGATATTGTGTCATTGGTGAAGGAACAGACAATAGATCAATGGAATGAAAGAGAGAGTACAGAAATAAATATATATATAAATATGGCAAATTGATTTTGACAAGGGGCAAAGACAATGATGTATGTGTGTGTGTATGTATATATAAATTTAAACAAATGGGGCTAGGACACCATACATCCATACTCAAAAGAAAAGATGGGCTTTGATCCATACCTCACATCTTATATCACAGAGCTAATGTAAACTGTAAGACTAAGATTTCTGAGGCGGGGGGGACCTACAAAATAATGTCTTCATTATTTCCCTGGAGATAGGGAAGGATTCTTAGATACAACACAAAGTATGATTTATTTAAAAAAAATAAAATTTGGGGCTTAAATGTACTCTGTGAAAGACAATGTAAAGAGAATAAAAGACAAGCCATGAACAGGGAGAAGATATTTGCAAATTACATATTTAGGGACTTGTTCCAGAATATATAAAATTTCAAACTCAATGGTAAGGGGAAAAAAAACAACAAAATATACTGCAGGCAAAAATTTGAACAGACATTTTACTAAGTTGTATGGATGACAAATAAGCACATAAAAGATCCTCAACATAATTAGAAAAATGCAACATAAAACCACAATGAGCTACACCAACATCATAGGATGACCAAAATAAACAAACAAATGAAAAAACACCCAGAAAAAACACCAAGAGCCCACAAAAACCCACAAAAGGAAAAAATGTAAAAACAAAATTAAAAAAACTTTCACAATGAAAGCCAAAACAAATGTTGGAAAGGACATTGAGTAACTTGAACTCTCTCACATCATTGTGTAAATGCAAAATGGCACAGTCAGTTTGGAAAACAGTTTTGCAGTTTCATATACAGTTCATAAACCTACCATATGACTCAGTAATCTTAATTTGGGTATTTACTCAAGAGAAATGCCAATTTATATCCACACAGAAACCTGTATGCAAATTTCATAGCAGTTTTATTTATAGTTACCCAAAACTAGAAATAATCTAAATGTCCTGCAACTAAGGAATAGATAGCCAAATTATGACATGTCTGTGTAACAGAATAGTACTCAGCAATGAGAAGGAGTAGGAGATTGAAACACACAACAAGAATTAATCCCAAATATATTTTGCTAAGTGAAAAAAGGCAGACTCAAAAGACCACATACTGTATAATTTACTTATGACATTCTGGAAAGGCAAAATTAGAGGGATAGAGGACAGATCAGTGGTTGCTAGGGATTAGAAATTAGCAGAGGGGTTAACCATAAAAGAGCAAAATGAGGAAGTTTTTCAGAGTGATGGAACTCTTCTATACATTGATTGTGGTGATTACATCATTCTGAGGATTTATCAAAACTCTTAGAACTGTACACAAAGAGAAAACAAATACATCATGTTCATAACAAAGAAGAAAATTTGTAATCAAATGGGCAGAGGATGTAAATTGGTCCCTCCAGAAGAAAAAATCCCCCTGTTTCTTATACATATGACAAATTTCAATCAAACTTGTAATTAATTAAATTCAGTTTAAAACACAAACTGAACTAACAAGCAAAATAGAGACAGACTCACAAATAGAAAGTAGGCTAACAACTCTGGGTGGGGGCAGGGGAAGCCTAAGGTAGGATAGAGGGATTGAGCAAAAAATAAGTAAAAAAGAAAAGAGATTGATAAAGAACTCACAGACATGAACAACAGTGTGATGATTGAAGCAGTGGGGTGGGTGGAGGTGGGAGAGGGTATGGGGGGATAAATGGTGATAAAAAAACAAGTAAAAAAGAACAAAAAATCAGTGAGATTCCATGTTCAATTGTTAGATGAATAATGGTTAAGTTTGACAATACAGCATATTAGAAACTGTGGAAATTAGCACTCCCATACTCAGCATGAAAGTTTAAATTAGTACAACCTCTTTGCAAGAAAAGGAGGCTATCAAACTTTTAAAAACTTATTGTTTGATCTAACATTTTCATTTCTATGAAGTTATCCCATAATATTTCTCCATATATGCAAGAATGTATGTATAAGTATCTTTATTACAGCATTGGTTGTGAAGGCAAAAAATGAAAAATGAACTTTCAATGTTATCAGTTAAATAAGTAGTTACATCATTACAATGGAAAACACTAAAGAACTGAATGGGTTATCTTCCTAAGATCAGCTAAGTTTAAAAAGTTAGGGGCTTATATAAAAATACTAAACACATTTATTTTCTTATTCAAACAGGGGTTTGGGGGAGAGATATATGAGGAATTGTGGATAATAATGCTCTTCAGAGAGCAAATCTAGGAGGCTCAGTGGGAAGGAAACTCACTCCTAAATACACACTCTTTCTCGATGTTTGAATTTTAAAAATATGCACCTGTGTTAATTTCTTAAGATAACCAAAATGAAAAGATTAGATAAATGCTTTTATTAATTTTCTAAGGCTGCCATAATAAAAAACCAGATTGGGTGGCTTAAACAACAGAAATTTATTTTCTCACAGTTCTGAAGCCTGGAAGTCCAAGGTAAAAATGTTGGCAGGTCTGGTTTCTCCCAAGACCTTTCTTTGGCTTGTAGGTGGCTCTAATGTTCCATCCTCACATGGCCTTTTTCTCCCTAAGTATACATTCCTGTTGTCTCTTTACGTGTTTGATCTCCTCTTTTAATAAGGACACCAGATAGATTAAATTAGGGCCTGCCCTAAAAGTCTCATTTTAACTAAATTAACTCTTTTAAAAGTCCTATCCCCAAATATTTTTACATTCTGAGGTACATAGGGAGTTAGGTCTTCAACATATGAATTGGGGGGTATGATTCAGTTCATAACTGTTAAAGTAAAATAATACATTCTATTACAGGAAAATATATACACAATAAAATATTTTAAAATGATCCAACACCTATTTTTCACTCTTATAAATAACCCTAAAATGAGTGTAATAATGCTTAATACTCTGTCCATGTACCAGTCTGTTTTCTTCAGAGTAATTCCCAGATGTGAATAGCTTAGAGGACATAAATACTTTGAAGGTTCTAGGAACATTTTACCAAATTGGCTCCAGGAAACTTCTTATTTAAAACTCTACTTAGCTCTGCACCCAAGAAAGAATGGAGGGACTCTAGAGTGTCAGCCTGTCAGCCTGTTATTTGGTTGTGGTGTTGCTGAAGAAGATTAGCAACCAAGGTTTGGAAGTTAAAATATTGAGAGAACTAAGGGCATGGGAGAATGTTAAGACACTGGTTATAATCCTCATTCTACCTCAACTTTAAATAAAAGTAAATGACATAAACATTGTTTGCCTGTTTGAAAGGGGTATAAAACAGAACTGCTGTTCTCCCATTAGTGGGCAACTACCTCACATATATCTTTGCACAAGTTACTTAAGGACTCATGATTTATTGAGTCTATATAGGCTACTCTTGGTATGCATCTATGAGTAATTTTTATAATTATATTTCTTCATTACAGTTATTGTATATTCACTTTGCATTTTAAGTTTTAATCAACCTCTCCAACTTGGAGACTATCTAGACTTACAAATTCTTTTTAAGTATCTCAGAAAGAGACTTCAAGGTGGTGGAGGAGTGAGTGGAAGTCACCCTGACCTCTTCCCAGGAGCAATCTGGAATTACAACTAAACTGTGGAGAAATCATCTGGAAAACAACTGAACAATAGCAAGACAGGAGAGGGATATTGAAATGGCAAGTTGGATCCCCCTGAGAAGAGCAGGGTCTAAATCATAAGCAGGGATCTCCAGCCTATAGCACCAGAGCCCAAAAAGCACACAGATAACAGTCAGCTGTGAAAAGAGGCAGTGTGCTCTCTGCCAGAGACAGGCAGCTGGACACCCAAAGAGCCATTTAAAGTGCCAACGCAAAAATTTGTAGTGGCAGCCACTTACCCTGGGCTTTGGTAGAGGTGGGGGCAGAGTGGGATAGAGCCACCTGAGGAGAGACTGGAGAGGGAGGCTTTAGGGAAAGAACTAGGAGGTTGGACAGTGGGGTACAGGTGCTGACTCATCCACCATTCCACAGCTGCCATCTTGCTCAGGCAGACCACTCCCCCAAGCAGCAGCAGTGTGAAGAGACACAACAGCCCCACCACCAGGAGGCTGGGTCAGGCTGGTGTTGGGCAAGCCTGCCAGCTGAGTACAGAGCAGCAGTCACAGGTAGTAGATCCCTGACTAAAGGGGATGCAGAGTGATCTAGAGACATTTGAGGAAAGTCTGGTGGCAGAGGCATTGGGGAGAAAACTGAAGGAGTAGCGGGATGGATCCTGGTACTGACCCCTCCCCAATATGGCATCAGCCATATTGCTCAGGCAGACCACTCCCCTGTGTGGCAGCAATGTGAAAGGACACAATA